ACAACTCAACACTTGTTTTTGGCCATTTCGTGATTGTAGAAAAATCATACAAAGATTTGCTAGCAATGGGAGTCACATTCCATAACCTTACCTCGGAGTCTGGCCTGAAGAATTTGGACAAGCACCTCCTGACTCGGAGCTATATCACCGGGTAAGTTTTGTTCCTTAGTTATTATTATTCTTAGGGGCATAATCTCATGAATCAGCTTACACCATAGTTGTATTTGAATTAGTCAATACAATATATGTTGCAAAGGGAATGCTGATCTATACAAGGTTAACTGTGGTGCACTATGTCCTTTATGTCAACTCAGAAGATTATTTCCCTTATTATTATTATTGTTGTTGTTGCTTTTAATGTCAAGTATTTCATATAAAGCATCGATGATGATAATTTTACTGTTCTTCCTCAATGGATTCTTTAATTTCATTATCTTCTTATCTTATTCTCAGATATCAAGCTTCAAAGGATGATCTTACTGTCTATGGGGCTCTTCCAAATGTTCCATCATCAGAATATGTGAATGTCTCTCGGTGGTACAACCACATCGATGCACTTCTAAGGCTTTCGTAAGTTCTTAGTACTTACATACATGTCATCTACTGTGTTGCACCGCTTTAAATTTTTAACTTTCTGCAATTACAGGGGTGTTTCTGGAGAAGGATGTGGTGTCACAGTAGAGGGATCTGCCGCTGAAGAGGCTGTTGCAACTCCTCCTATTGCTGACACAAAGGTGAGATGTATTTATTTTGTTTTATGTGTGTACATATCCCTTGGATGTGGATCCTTTCTTTTAGTAAGATCTTCTTTTCGCCACATGAAAAGGCTTGATACTTTTAGGCACTTTTGATGATCTGATCAAGGTTTAAAAAAAGGGTTTCGGACACCGTAACGGACACAACCGAAACCTTTACGTAATGCCGTTACGTAACGGTTTCGGCCTTTACTTATTTTTTTCTTTTTTGCTTAAAAAAATCCAATAAATTTCAATAAATAAAAAAAAAAAAATATATATATATATATATATATATATATATATATATAATAAATGAGTAACAAGATACTTTTAAAACCAATATGAAGCTCAAAATTTAGAAATAAGGAAATTCGATGGGTCAAGGGTTGAACATACCCGAAATAAAGAACATGCCTTGGATTCTTTCAAATCTATGAATTAAACTCCAAATCAAGTTGTTAATTAACAAAAAACAAAATGATTTTAGGAAAAAAAAGGTACTAAGAATACATTATGGTTTTGTTTCGGGATAAACGGGTAAAGGTACGGTCTCGGGTATCGGAGGTCACCGAAATCTTTACGTAACGGGCTTTACATAACGGTTTCGGCGTTTTTGAAAACCACGGATCTGATATTTAAGATAGCTTTTTCTAACAAGCATGAAAATATTAAAGAGTTTTGACATTCAAATAAGTGAAATATATATATTTTTTATGATCGGTCAATTAAGTGAAATACTTTGTAACTGAAGTAGCCTGAGTGATATCATACCACTTATTTTACTTGAAATTTGGATCTATGTGACATATGTAATGGAGAAATCTATTGCTAATGTCAGCATATATTAAATGCAGGGGGTTAGGATCCCCGTTCTTATAAACCATAGGCTAATTGTACGGTACCTTCAAGCTACCACTTGGCCTTGCAATATCTCCACAAAGATGTGTATTTTAGCATAATGCAATTTTTAAAAGTCTGCATTGTCAGCACAATTATTAAGGGATAATATTTTTAGCCTGGGTAAGTAGGAACTATTTAAAATTAGAGAAATAGTCCCTCGTTGGCCGAGGAGGGGACTATTCCTCCTTGCTCTCACATAGCCAACCCTTTAACTCCCTTTTAGCTCGGGTTAGTTTATTTAACCATTTCGTTAAATTTTTTTATTATATTTTTCTAAAAACCAAGGGTAGATGGGTGAACCCTAAGTGCAGATGAATCTTAACCATAATTAAATAGGGTTAGAAGGGACACATGGCAAGAAAGTGGGAACCGAGACGGCCCTCCTCGCGTCACCGACCGAGGAGGTGACTATTTTCCTTAAATTTATAAGTCTATGTTGTAGTGGACCTACTGGTAGCTCTCTTTGTTTCTTAAATTATTAAGAACTATTTGGAATTTCAAAATCTACTTTGTCTTGGTCATAGTCATCAAGTCGGAGTTTGGAATTATTCGGCTAAGGAAAAATTTGGAAAACTCAAGTAATATCTTTAAAAATCCAGATTTATAATTAAGAAATATTAGAGACAAATATATATCATAGTTTATATATTTACTTTAAAATTCGTGAATAATTCATGTTTAATATGCGAAATTTTTTGACTTTTTGATAGCTTTGGGATATTGTCAATAGGTTGCCAATATTTTGTGAATTAATCAGTTAACGAAAAAATCATGAATTATATGCAAATTTTTTAAACAATCGGAGATCTTTGTTACTATACTAGTGGTAGCTCTTTTTGTTCCGTAAGTTTTCAAACAAGCAAACATAGTTCAGTATCCTCATCAGTTAAATAAATTTTGGGTTTCAGGTGACAGCTGCTGAAGATGACAACGATGATGATGTGGATCTATTTGGTGAAGAGACAGAAGAGGAAAAGAAAGCTGCTGAACAACGTGCAGCGGCCATAAAGGCATCTGGGAAAAAGAAAGAGTGTGAGTTTCTTGTCTTCTGTTGTAGACTTGCAGATTACATGCTTGGAACAAGCGTATATTCTTTGCAAGCCTATATTTTATTTTAATTTCTGTGTAACATGGATTAAATTTTCCTGTGATTTTGTTCTCAGCTGGAAAATCCTCAGTTTTGTTGGATGTGAAACCATGGGATGATGAGACTGACATGCAAAAGCTTGAAGAAACAGTGAGAAGTCTTCAGATGGAAGGCTTGTTTTGGGGAGCCTGTAAGTGCTGTCTTTTTTTTTTTATCTTCTCTCTTAACCTTTAATGTAGATAACCCACTCATGTGTGTTCTGCATACTGAGGCAAGTAATGCATTGACTTTATATTTCAGTGGCCTACTGATTAACACAATTTGTTAGAATGACAGCCAAACTTGTAGCAGTTGGGTATGGTATAAAGAAGTTGCAGATTATGCTAAGCATCGTGGATGACTTGGTGTCTGTTGACTCTCTTATTGAGGAGCATCTCACTGTTGAACCAGCGAATGAGTACATTCAGAGCTGTGATATTGTGGCCTTCAATAAAATCTGTAAGTCATTTTAATCAATATATTATGTTTATATATTTTTCAGAAGCGCCAAGATTCATCACTATGTTTCTCTTTGTTTTTAGGGAATTACTTCGTTAAATATGTGAAAATGGTTTAGAGCCTGTTGGAATATTAAACTAAACTTGTACATCTACGGTTAAATGTATCCTACTCATACTTTATACTTTGTGTATTGTTACAGAGGCCTGGACCTGGTACCTTACGCATCAAGGAAAATGAGGTGACTTCTATTATAAGAAACTCGATGGGAGAAGAGTCTCTATTATGAGTGAATTTTAACATGTATTTTGTCTACCAAAGACGGACAGTAGTGATTAGTGAGTTTCATCATATTTATGTCTACTGAAAGAACACAGATGAAAACTTGGGTTGTGGTTTCTTGAAGTAGCAAAACATGATGGCTTGTGTTTTCTATTTCCCCAATTGCTTTTTTATGATATGATACTTTGTGGATTTGAGATGCTTATTTTGAATTTTTATTTGTATTTTTTGAGATCTACTATTAGTGTGATAGCCCACCAGGTGCAATTCAGAGTTGGTGCACTTCTCTATTGGGCTAGTTGCCGACACAAGTTTAGGGAATAAGAGTTTCATCCCTGCTATCTTCAAGCTTCCCATCGCTGTGCCTGTAACCTTATCTACATGGATTGTTGGTCATATCCCAATGATCTTAGTGCCCTGTCTGCTCCCACTCCGAATTCTTGATTTGGCTGTTTGTGTGCAGCAGCTGATAATTAAAATTGGAAGCGTGATTCCTTCCAACCTTACCTATGGGTGCTGATCATTGTGCAATTTCAATCTAGTTAACTTGCCCTCCTATAATGTAGAGCAAATTTTTTAGTGTTATTTTTTTGTTGAACAAGTTATTGTTTTGATTTAGATACTTAGGTATGGATCAAAAATTAAGACGTTCTAATGATTATTAGATTTACATTTATTATAAAGACTTAGTCTAGGGATATTCCCAAAGTGTACTCCCAAATCATGACGGTTTATCTCAATTATTAAGTGGTTAGGATTAAAGTAGAAAAGACAAAATAAGTCAACTCAAATCCTGACCCTCAACCAGTGAGGATTATGAAGCATTTGCGGGAGTATATTTGGGAGTACTCATAGGCCTGACTCTATTATAAAATGAGGTTTTTTAATATACTGTTAAAATGTAAAGAAAAAAGATAATATTATTATATAGTTAAAGTGGATATGTAAAATCATATTCCGACCAACTTTTGTGAAAAAAAAAGATTTGGATGGATGGAAAAATAAAGTTATATATTTGTTGAGTGTTATTGTAAAAAAAATTTAATAAGCTATTATAAAAAAATAATGCCAAAAAACCTTAAATAGGTATAAATTTAGATATATACTCGTATAAAAATAATTATTATATAAGGAATTAGTATCCAGAGACGGTCTGTACAATGGGATGATCCCACCACTCCTGAAACTTTTTTTTTTTGGGGTCAAGCCACTCTTGAAACTTTAGTTCGGGATTATTCCATATATGAGATCTTGCCATGTGGGCTATGTGGTAGGCCAATAACAATCTCCACATCGGCGCAAAACAACGAATCTCATAGTAATGCATAACCTCGTCATCATTTATACTACTTGTTAAGTCTTCGGTAACGTTTAGTAACACTAATCTAAATAGGTAGAGCTTATTTGAAAATTATGCTTAATTAGACTTTAGATTATTAAGTAGAAGGTTAATTGCATGACTATAATTGAATGTCTACATCTTTTTGAAGAAGAATGGGATCATACCAGCACTAATGAATTGGATCCCATCATAACTCCACAGTTAAGCGTGCTTGGGTGAGAGTAGTACTACGATAAGTGACTTCCTAGGAAGTCCATGTGTTGCACCCCTCCTTTGAACACCCCCGCCTCTTGCGTGAGTGGTAGGGGTGTGGCCTTCAATAGAGGAGGTCTAGGGATCTAATCCCACCCGGATATGAGTTGCAAGAGCTCCAATGCCATGCTAACTTCTGACCGTCTAACTCTACTAATGTAGGTAAATGATATCCATCACCAAAAACAAAACAAAAAAATAGAGGTAAAAACTTTTACTTTACTTTAAGAGGTAAAACCCCTATTTCAAAGACGTAGACATGCAATTAACATTCAACTTACAAATTTAAAATCCAACTAAACACAATTTTCAAATAAGCTCTACCTATTTAGATTATTGTTACCAAACACCACCTTAATCTTGCCAAGCACTCTCAGAACCTTCCAGCGCTGATTAATTCCCATTCAATTGCACCTCTAGTCTCCAACCGTGAGAATTCGTATGTTATTGAATCTTTTTTTTTTCACCTCTTTTTTGGCACCAGATATTATTTAATAGTATGAAGATTGAATCTCTTCCAGTGACCACCCCGTTGGTCTAGCCCAGTGGTCGTGAGACGAACCGTAGACCCGGAGGTCCTACGATGATGCACTTGCGTATCTCGTCTGCCTTGGGACTCGTGAGGATTAGTCGGAGTCTTATGGACACCCCCACCCCCCCCCCCCCCCCCCCCCACGGTTACTAGGGGAATTCATTAATTATATGGCAGAAATTTCTTGTCGGACAGATGAAAAAGGACCAGAGGAACTGTCTTCGCTAGTGCGCACACACATACCGAGAGAGAGAGAGAGAGAGAATGAATGGAGGCTCTGCACAGTGGCAGAAGTAGAAGCTTATCTACGAATGTTTTTATCTTTCGCGTAGACTGCCTTCCTCATCTATGGCCCATAGAAGTCTTTGCGATCCCTTTCCTTCTTCAGCAAGAACATAAAAACGTGGTCCACTTTCCTTTTCCATTCTGTACTCTGTTTCAGGAGGGGAGATTAAAAGGTCATTGTTTTTTTTGGCAACATAATGGATGATCCTACTCCCATGAGTGTCTAATGGCTACTCTCCATCTTTTTTGTTGTTAAATGATAGCATGGGATTTGCTTATCCTGGCATCAAGGCTTATTCCTGTGAACATGTTCCTCAGTCAATGAGAAACTTCACTCATTTTCTGTCCGCTGTGATTGAATTGGGAAGCTGACTCTGAGCATTTGTCGTTGGTGCAACAAATAAGGCTGGGCAGAGAAAGTGGGAAACCAAGTTTACGAGTCGACACTAATGATACCGATCTATATCAATGTCCTGACTATGTCCCAACTCTCAAGTACCTCCGAGAAATAAGTTGCAGAAGATGAACCAAATGTTGAAATTCATGATACATCAGATGGTTTCCAGTGTTGTGGAATAAGCAATCCTGCGTCCCTTGTTCTTCGTGTTCACTTTTTCTTTTTCTCCTGAAATGTGGATATGAGTTCACACCATTATGAATACTAAAACCTATCTACGACAAAACAATCTCTCTTCAACAAAAAGAAATGGGAGATAATATATATTCTTTCCTTTTCATTTTTTCAACCTTTCACAACCAATGTCCTGTCTCATAGTGGGAGATAATCATACATATCAAATGGTTATGATAATTTAATCAGGTTGATTTCTGACCTGCAAAATCTCACAGGTGACAACCGTTAAGCAGCAACAAAAACATAACATGTTCTTTTTCTCTCTCTCCCCCCCCCCTATTTTCCTTCTTTCTCCTTTCTTTATGATTGTGACAGCCATGGTGTGAATAATCCTAGACCAAATGTGCCCAACAAAATGCAAAAACTAAAGAAGTATTTTTTGATTGGTAGGAACTTTTTTTTATCAGTAAAAGAACTATCAACCTGTACACTTTACTTTTCTACAATTTTCCCTTCCAAGCCCTAATTTCTGAAATGATAATATCAATTCTTAGATACTGAATTTAATTTAGCTAAGTGAGCTAGCATCTAGGACCCTAATTGGAGTAGCTGCAGCTTTTTTATCAGCATACTCACCTCTTTCCCACGAATAATATCTAAAGGGTGTACTTTTTCATCCAATTCTCCCAAAGGGAGGTTTGCCAGTTTAGTTAAATAAACATCAAACAGGATTCTCCTTCTTCACTCTACTATTTTGCATATTAGGCAATCAAAATTAAGATCATTACCATGCCTTCAAAAACTTTTCGAACCAGGCCCCAATAGCTTGCTTGAGATGAAGATACCCTTTTGCACAACATATAATCATATCCTTATTAGTTCAGCATTTCAACTATATAAATGGTCCATTATAACCATATGGCAAGCAAAAGAGCTTACAAGCCAATTCTATATGAACTGGCATTCTTAACCATGTGGCAATCACTCTGCAATCACTAAAAACCCCAAACAGTACCTCTGATTAAACGATCCTTGGCATGCCCTTACTTTGTAAGCTCATAGACCATGCTGCCCCACAAGCAATTCACTATGTCCACTTAAAACAAATAGATTTTGTTTCAAGTCTGAACACACAAAAACTCATTTCAAATAGTGCTTGCAAAAAGCTGAGAGTTTCTTCCATGGACTGCAACCAGTAGCATTTATTTTGGGCAACACTCTAGCATATGTTGCCTGGGCTCAGCAAGGAACGGCTTTGATATATCATGCCAAAGCACTGCACTTTCACTGAGGGAGTTGAGCCTTCAATTTCCCAAGTGTATACTTATTTTTTAAGTGCCAATAATACTGCCGAGTGCCAACCCATTTGCTAGACAATATGCAAAAGGTTGCAGTTGTACTGATCCCATTCACTAATTGTTGTTTTTGCTTGTTCTAAATGATTCAATAGTTCCCAAAGTAGTAAAGGCATGCAATGCATCCTACCAAATTGAACTAAATGACTAATGTTTTCTCATAGCCATAACTCCAAAGTGTATCAGGATTTCTCTTGAAAACATTATATGCCCCATTTATGGTATACCTAACCTCTATCTCAACAAAGGGCTCCAGAAGGGTTCTACGTTTTGACCTCTAAAGTACTTAGACCATGTTGCAGTTAAAATCTTTACAAAAGTGAGACTTCTTCCATAACTAGCAATTGCAGAGGGCTCATCATCTGTAGTGATTGAATTTGAATATATCAGATCTTGGACTGATATGGTAATATGACATCCTTTTATGAAGAGGTTGTCCAGATAAAAATAGATCTTACAGTGGGAAAACAGCCCTGAATATTCTTAGTTCACTAGCTCATGTCTGATAAGCGTATATGTCTATACATGAGCATATGAGATTACAAACTTGGTTTGGGTATGTGAATGGGTCAACCTCAAAATCGATACGATTCAGCTGTCATTGCCACATCAAGTATTTGACCAACAATAACAAAAAAAATCTGGAAACATGGGATTAAAATGGACATGGATAAGCTGAAGAAAAATTTTCTCCTCTCCTGTTGTTCTCAATTAAGTATCAGTATTAAAGGTTCTGTACTTTGAAGGCAAACAAGAGCAGAGAGCATCTATTATCAAAGAGTACCAGTACCAACTACAAACTAAACATAATTCAATCCAGAAACATCAAAAAAGATTAGAACATTAGCAAAATGCTAAGATCGATCGGTTAGTGACCTACTTCAGGTAATGCTTAGTGGGCATCTTTTTTGAGGTCATGGGCTGCGGCTTTGGATGGCGCTCGGCATCAACTGGATCCAACCACTTCAGAGGATGGCGGTTGAAGAAAGGCCAGTTCGGAACAGTGATCAACGCAGTCAGAACAACACCAGCGCTGTAGATGAGAAGCATCATTTGAAAAGAACTCATAGAGTAACCAGTGACAAAAGCCACTACAGCAAAAGCAAGGAGCATGATCTGCATCAGCTGCTCCGCAAACTTCTGTCCTTGCCAATCCATCTAGAAATGAAGATCAAGAGAAGGAGAATTTCAATCCTAAATCCGAGAAACTCATAGATAATCGTCCAACAATCGAGATCCTAATATTTTTCGCACAGAAATCGTGAAAATCGCCAAGGAATGCAACAAAAGATACGCAGATCCTGAAGAAAGCAAATAATCATCTAAATTTGCTTCAAAACCCTAACAAAAAAAAAAAAAAGGAATCGAAAATAAAAGAAAGGGCAAAACGATTAAACTGTCCTCGGGTAAATATGATCTAATTCGAAAAATCTAAGAATCATTCAAATTACAGATGAGTCTGCTTCGAAAATTGAAAACTTATATAATCAAAAAGGAAAGAGAAGCAAACGATTAAAATGTGCTCTCAAAACATGATCTATCAAAAAAACCTAGCAATCTGTTCTTCGAAGCATCACTGAGTTTGGAAGATTTTGATTTAGAAAAAACCCTAACCCTAATCCAACCTCAATCCTTGAACTCCATGGCGGAGGACGTGAAAAGAAACAGAGAGAGAGAGAAGTAACTTACCCGGAAATGGAATGCTCACCGTCCGATGAAGAGGGAGACAATGTCGAAACGAGAACGAGAGCAAAAGACTGAAACAGAATGCATAACATTTAGAATAACTGCAAAAATGATTTAATTCGCCATAATTCTATCTTGTACGGGTATTATTTAATAGTATGAAGATTGAATCTCTTCGAGTGACCACCCCGTTGGTCTAGCCCAGTGGTCGTGAGATGAACCGTAGACCCGGAGGTCCTACGATGATGCACTTGCGTATCTCGTCTGCCTTGGGACTTGTGAAGATTAGTCGGAGTCTTATGGACACCCCCACGGTTACCCAAAAAAAAATCCCTTCTAGGGGAATTCATTAATTATATGGCAGAAATTTCTTGTCGGACAGATGAAAAACGACCAGAGGAACTGTCTTCGCTAGTGCGCACACACATACCGAGAGAGAGAGAATGAATGGAGGCTTTGCACAGTGGCAGAAGTAGAAGCTTATCTACGAATGTTTTTATCTTTCGCGTAGACTGCCTTCCTCATCTATGGCCCATAGAAGTCTTTGCGATCCCTTTCCTTCTTCAGCAAGAACATAAAAACGTG